ATTGCTAGGCTAGTAATACCTTTTCGACTATTTTCAAAGTTATTTGTTCCACCAAGCAACTTTCGCTTAAGAAGATTTATGAATTTATGAATGACTTGAGGATCATCTATATTACTTTGCAAGTATGACATGTATAAAGGTCGACCATATTTAGCCAAATTTCTGCATTCATCATTCTCATTCTCATAATTATTAGAGCTAAAACTATCAATTGTGATTAGCCGGAAATATGGATAAAATAATTAGAGAGATAAGTCTCCAACATCACAGTGTGATGGATCAATTGATTTTGAAGGTGCGAAATTTGATATCCTGCTTAATGTATCCAAAAGCAAGGCAAAAAATCCATGCCACCTTACATTCTTCAATGCCTTGCGAAACAATCTAAATGGTGAAAATTTGTGCTTATTAATTGGTGATATAAGAGTTCTAGCCTCATCAATACAAAGAAGGAAGCAAACATTATTATTTGAATTATCATTAGTTATGAAGCTAGCTGACATATCTAATTCAGAATCAATTATATTTCTCCAGCTTGATGATCTTCTACTGATCTCAGTCCATATCACCGTATAATAATTTGTATCCATCTGATTATTCTACAAGGTTTCAGAATTATTATTACATTTTGTTAATTCCTCTTTGAAACATTGAATGGCAACCTGCAAAATATAGGTAAACCTCCATTCCTCTCCTTCTCTCAATTCTTTAAGCTCTCGTTCAAATAATTCTGCACCAACTCTAGTACGTGAAGGATATCCAGTACTATTTGTATCCTGGAGACAAAGATAAATTGTGGGAATCCGCCTAGCCATTTCTTTAACCAGCTGTGATTTCCCATATCCAGAACTTTGAAATATCGTAATATACGGAACATAATGCTGGACATCATTTTTTCAAGTTCTGTGCTTACTGTTTAGATAAGTTTCAAATTTACCAATCATTCCGTTTTTATCCTGATAATCTATGTCAAATACTTTTCTGAGATTTTCTTTATACATTTCAGATCTAATATCCATGACATCTGAACTAGATAAAGTAATATTGAGAGTACTGGATTCTTATGCAGCATCTAGATATTGTTAAACCAGAGCTTATTTATTATCTCCTAGGAGAGTTGTATCGTCAGTGATAAATTGTGCAAGTAATCTCTCGTTTTTGATGAACTCAGTAACATTATTAAGTGAACCTATGCGTTGATTATGAAAATGAAATTCTTTTTCAGGTACATTTACAATTAAGTTTGTAAGGTGTGTGTCAACTTTACACACGTCATAAATAAGAAAAATATATTAGTAAAAGTCATAGAACGGCAAGTAATATACATAAATGATACAATTACAGTAAATTCAGTCATATATTATACTTACCAACAATAACTTGCAATGCATTGTTTTCCATATTGTATAATCCATCGATAGATATATCCGAATTTAAGACTTCACTCTCCCCGCGATGAAGGGTGACAACATTTTCATATACATTTTCAACAGTATTTTTCAATCTACATTTAATTTCGTCTATCAGATCATCTACAGTTTTTACTTTCATACCTTCCAAAATACTTCATTTAAGAGAGAAGAATTGATCATTATGACGGACATGTATTTCATTAGAAGGTGCTTCAGCTATGTTAAAGTTAAACAGAATGTAAATAAAGTATATAAATTAAAGCAATAAATTGAGATATACCTTGAACTGAATGTATTGACATTCTTTTCATTTCAGAATCCATTTCCTGAATTTTATTTCTCAATCTTTGCACCTCTTCATTTTCTGTCGCTAACAGAATTTAGAAATTCAATAAATGAATAAAGCTACGTATTTGCTGTGTTTCTATTCTGCAATGACACAAGAAATAAGCAATAAACTAAATGGAAACAAGGACATATCCAGAAGTGTCACTTTTATTGGATTGATTTGTTTGATTCTGAATTTACCAACCAATTTATTAAAGTCACTATCATATTGATTAAGAAAAAAAGTGGAATTCAGAGTAGTATATTCATTTTCGTTGGCTTTCTTCGCTTCGAGAATAAGAGTACTAGCAGTGGCTTAGAAATTTTTTGCTTCCTTGATAGCTCTACAAAGTTAAATATACCGTCCACCTACAGGTTGTTCAACATAGTTTACTTCGCGTCTAACAACTTGATACCAGATATCTTTCTTTGACTTTGTTGTTTTATAACTCATTTTGTCTAGTTATCGTAGATTATTTATTTATCGTAGAATAGAAAAGAGACCGTATTTTTTTCCTTATTGAGAAATCATGTGTTATAGATGATCGTCGTATTACTTGATTATATTCTTCTTTTTTTTATATTTATTTCTTTTACTGACCCGCAAAGTTCTTGAATGAAGATCGTCAAAACACTTGCACTCTATATTCTTTTTTAGTTCGATCGTCTCATTCACATTAGGAAAAATACTGCCTGACTTTTTACATGAATCGCTCCTCTTTACTGATTAGAGACTCTGATTAGAGCATTATCTTACGAATCTCGAATCGATTTACGATTCTCACATTAGTGCTCACCCTCCTTCCTAATGAATAACCCCTTTATAAATAGTTTTCTCTTTGAACGAAAAAAAACAGGTTTTTAATGATTATATAACTTTGATAACCCAAATATTTTGATTCTAAACCTGTTTTCTTCCTAAATCTCATGATAAAAAAATTTTTTAATTCTGATTTTCATAAGACAACTCTACAATCTCCAAAAAAAAATGTGAGATATTCCCTAAATAGGAAAAAAAATTCTTTTCGAATAGAGAAACGTTCGATTTTATTATAAACAAAATAAAAAAAAAAAGATCAGAACTTCCTGTTCTTTACATTTTCGATTTTTGTACAATGATAAAATTAATAAATAAAAAAATAAAAAAAAATACTTCTTATAAATTTCATTCTTTTTTTTTCAATTTTTCGAAGAACAAAAAAAAAAAGTAAAAGAGTAACGAAAATAATATCTTCCTTTATAAAATATAAAAAATAAAAATCATGTCCGCTAAATTGAACGCATTCTGCTACATCTACGAATTCTCCCAAAGAACCACCTGAGATTTTACCGTGATGGAAATTACTGCAATTGTGAGGATGAACCAAGAAGATCCCACTATAATCTCCTACTTACGAATAAAAGCATTTGTTCCTTTGAACACCTCCATTTCACACCAAATAGACCAAATCGACACTGGAGATGTAGTTCAATTAAAAGGAAAATTTGTCAGATGCCCGGCCTATTACTCGGTACCCTCTTTTCTCTTTTTTTCTTTTCCGAATCAGAAAAAAAACTAACCTATACTCCTTCATCCAAGGTTAACGTGACTTCAATCAAACTGTATTCCATGCATCCGTTTGGCCACTTTTTTACCCTCTATTCTTAGAACCCTTCAGCACCAACATGCCGATGATACATTTTATCAAATGTTGCAAGAAATCTGAATAGGCAATATCTCTCCCCAAATCTGGCAAACTCTTCAACAAAGACACTCAGAATTCTTAACCTGACCACCAATTAATACTCTCCTCAATACTATCAATATTGTCAGATTCAAAGAAACAGCCCAGCAGATTAACCGAATGATCTGCAACATGCTACCAGTCTCTAACGAAAAATTTCTAATCTCTTAATTCATCAATTTCATTGATTCCACCCAATGGGACTTATCGTTTGCCAAACCTACCTTTAAAACTAAAACTAATCTACCTACTTCTGTCAGATTACAACCCAGTGCACATATTATGTTTCTTAACAATTCCTTGATCAATCAAGGTATATGCAACAGTACCACAGGAATTATTACCAACCTCGACCTCGAAAACTAATCCGTTCAAGTTGCCTTTTTGATCAGAGATTCCTTGATCGATACAACCATTTACAAACAGACACATTACTTCTAACTATACGGAAATAATTGCTACTGTACCCAATTTCCCTCTAAAATTCTTTTGCTCTCACCATTTACAAAACCCAAAGCCTGACCTTACCGAAAGTATCCCTCGCCTTAGATACTTCAATTTTCTCTCCCGGTCAAGCCTATGTCGCTCTCAGTAGATGTTCAACTTAGGATAATATAGAGATATTCCACCTTGACTCAGCAGCCTTTAAAACAGACCAAGAAATAGTCTAAGAATACCAAAGACTCTGTTCCGTGACTTCGCCCAAACTAATTCTCATAACCTTTAACCCAATATATTCTAAAAATAAAAATATACTATTATTAACATTACGAAACACACATGTACATTGACCGCTTCCTCTTAAAAAATACGCTAGTCTACGCCATGATACTCATCTTCTAAAACTATAGAATGCTCAATAATCATAAATTTTTAAAGATTTATATGCACATTACAGAATCTACATGTCGATATTCCGATTTATCACGATTTATCCCATGACCAGCTAGATTCAATTAAAAAGCTGCGATAGGTATTGGAAGAAAAAAGACTGGCTAGTTAAAAAGGATGTTTGATCGCAAATCAGATTTTCTCCTTGTTTATATCAAATATAGATCAGATGATTGTATGACGCGCAGTAAAAGTTTGTATAATCTGTTTATAAAAATACTTGTCATCATAAATTTCAGTTGAAAAGTTCACGCACTTTTATAACTTTAGATTAATAATCAAAAAAACTCACCTAATTAAAGCTAAGTATGAGATTCACAAAAATCGCAAGCTACTAAATTATTTATTTCATTAATTGTCTAAATAAAATATAACAGTAAATAAAACATTTTAAATATTTAACTCCTATAATTTTTATGTTCACTTTGTTTGATTTTGTTGCAGCACACCCCAAATAACCCATTGTTCGCGTACATGAGCTTTGCATGATCTACGTAAATAATTGTACAAAAACGAATTTTCTTTTTACTAATCTAATTTCCATATTTCACGAATTCCAGTTTCGAAACTGGTCAACTTAATAAGCTCGTTACATATATGGATAATAGGACCCTTATTTATTATTAAATTTATTAAATCATGGTGCGGATAATAAGTTGGTCTGAACGTTTTAATGTATAATAAAAAAAAAAAATTTTTTTTTTCCCTTACTCTACCCTACCTACGCCTTGTTTATTATAATCCTATCATATCATACCAATTATACGTAAATTCCCCAACGGATTTGCAAAACGTACTTCTTTTATTCCAAGTTAAAAAATAGAACGTCAAATTCATGATTTTGGTTAAAGCATCACCTTTTTAGGTATAATCATCCGATAAAAATGTCACCTTTTTTTTTTAAAAAAAAAAAAATAATAATAGTCTTGTGTATTAAGAAAAATGAAACAACAATCTCTAAATATATATCATCAAAAGTTTTCTTTAAACTCTCCTTTTATTTACTTTAAAAGATTCTTTTGAAAAAAACTCTTTTATAT